ACTTATAAACATAAATTTTGAAAGATACTCAAAGTAAATTGAACAGAAATTTAACATAAAATTTTAAGGATTTTAGTAAAAAATGAGTATTTTTTTTAAATAAAATTAAAAAAATAAAAGTTTGTTTAAAAAGCAAGAAAACAGTTAAGTACTTAATATTTAAGGCAGTTTGTAATTTATTGTTACAATTATTTTAATATTTTTGTACAAAAAAAAAATACTCAATTTCCACAAAATCCTTAAATAAAAACAAATCAAAACAGTTTCCAAAACTTAAAAAATATAAAGAAATTTCTATATAAAGTTTTAAACTAAACAATATTTAACAGATAAAAACTTTAGCAAACTATTAGTAACTAAAGTTAAAAAAACTAAACAAAAAACATTAATTCATAATGATTCAACATAAACTGAACTCTAGCCACATTAGTAGAAACGAGCTTTTTTTACTAAAATTCTACTTCAAGGCATTTTGTTTTTGCTTTTAACTTTAACATAAAAAAATTAGCTTAAAATGTTTGTTTTTTTTTTGTAAAAAATCATATTAAACTTTTGGCATGCTTTTTTCAACTTTTGTGTATAAGGGTTGTTTTCTTCAAAAGGGTATTTAACGGTTAGCAAAGGTGGCATGATTTTAAGTAAATAAATTAATTTTTAAAAAAGTAATAAAAAAGAAATTAATTAATCGAAATAGAAATTAAAAATTACACTAAATTGGCATCCTTGGCCATACTATAGAAGGCAGATTGTGAGTTATTTAATAGATTTTCGGGAGAATCAAATTCTGAAATTTCACCCTTATCCAAAACAATGACTTTGTCCGAGTCCAAAATTGTATTCAAACGATGGGCAATGGTTAGGACAGTGCATTCCTTGAATTCGGAACGTATGGTTTTCTAAAAGATTTAAAAACAAAAGAAAAAATTAAACATAATTCCAAAAAAGCTCTACAAAACTTAAAGCTTTCAGTTACCTGAATTAAATCATCAGTTTCTAAATCGACGGCCGCCGTAGCTTCATCCAATACTAATACTTTAGTTTTACGCAATAAGGCACGTGCCAAACACACCAGCTGACGTTGACCCACCGATAAATTGTCACCACCTTCGGAAATTTCATGATTCAAACCGGCAGGCAGTGATTTAACGAAAGCCTTTAAATGAGACAATTCCAAAGCTTTCCAAATTTCAGCATCACTCTTAACTTCGAAGGGATCTAAGTTAATGCGCAAAGAGCCCGAAAAGAGAACAGGATCTTGGGGTATAATAGTTAAGCGGGAACGTAACATATGCAAGCCCATAGTAGCAATATCGATGCCATCGATAAGAATACGGCCACCAGCAGCTTCAATAATACTGCAAAAACCAACAAACATTACAATAAGAATAATAAAATTTGTAAATTAACCAACTTACCGGAACAAGGACAAAGTCAAACTGGATTTACCAGCACCAGTACGTCCCACAATACCGACTTTTTCTCCACCGGCTATCTTAAAACTAATGCCGCGCAATACCAAATCCAAACCCTCACGATAGCGCACTTTGAAGTTCTCAAATACCACTTCACCTTCGAGTGGCCAATTTTTGGGTACTTTAGAATTTTCCAATTCCCATGGTGCTTCTTGTTTAGTTTCACCATATTCCTTAATACGTTCGACGGCCACAATATTTGTTTCAATATCTGAGGACATACGCACCAACCAATTCAATGTTTGTGTTACTTGCAGGGCATAACTTACGGAAAGACCAACTAAACCGGCATTTTTCTGACCGCCCAAAACTGCAAACAATGAGGCGAATAGAATGATTAGATTACCCACCATTTCGAGACGTATGGCCAACCAACGATTGGCAATGAGTGAGGGATATTTGCAAACTTGATTTTTGTCCACTTTAGTGTCGGATTCATCGATAAATCTGAAAGAAATTTAATAATATTAGAGGTTAGTTAGTTAGTTTGAAAGGAGGATGTATATACATCGAATCCGAAGAAATACACCTAAGCCTCTGTCAGGCTGTTGTGCGCTCCTTAACCAGTGTCTCAGGTGGGAATCGAACCCACCACCTCCCGTCTACCAGACTAGAACACTAACCACTAACCTACCGGAGGCCAGAGGTAAATTAAAGTTACTGAAACCTTTGGAGTAGTGGAGCCATTTTAAAAATAACTAAATTTTAGACCAGCATTAGCTTTTTTTGTAAGAAAAATATCAATAAAAAGTTTCATAAAAAACTGATTTGAAAAGAAACCTAAATACTTTAACTAAAGTTTTGAAAGAACAAACTCAGACTTATTTATTATGAGTTTTATATGTATTTTAACCATGAATAAACGACTCGATCATGCTATTATCAACCCTTGACAGATCTGTTAGAATCCACAGCACGGGTGACAGAAACCCATCTAGGGCCTCGTTATAACCAGAAATATAAGGTCTAATAGTCAGAAATGTATGTAGATATGAACTTGATAAAGTCAACTCCCAGAATAAACAAACGGGGACGACAAGTCCCCTTCAATATCCGAAACGGATATAAAGTCCAGTCTTTACTCATTTTTCTTTAATCGCAATAGATTGATAATACTTTCAAATAATTTCAAAAGACCCTGTATAATTTTGATCTAATGTGTGATAGTTTTGTATCTGTTCTAAGCATTTTGCATGAAGTCCAAGTATGTATTTCAAAAAACTTATTATTTAAAAAAAGACACGATCTATGCGTGACCAGTAGGATGTCGCTCCATCCCGATCTTAGTTGTGCCAGAACTACTCTAGTTTTCCGCGGCAAGTTTTCTTCTGAGTGCGGTATCCTGCGACCGCGGAATTGATGGCGTCTCTATGAATGTCGTTCAAAGCTGCCGTGTACGAAGACTGATCTATTGCATCATGCACATAACTACATATGTTCTTCTCGTATATACGAAGGTCCTTCTAGACATGAATCGGGGGAGTATCCAACTGTGTGATGTTAAAGTTGGGATGACTCCTCCAGCAACATCGCAGGAGGAACTGTTTAGTCAACATGACATTGTGTTGCATTACTGGGAGAAGAAACAAGCTTTCCAAACTCTAATCTAGAATATCTCCTTCATTTTTAGAAAAAGAGGCATACTATTCCGTACTTATCACGGCTTTTAAAAGAAACTTAGTCATGTACAAAAAATTTAGTCAAGTCCGATTTCAATAAAAACAAATAAAAATCCATAATTTTGATAAAATTTAACGCTTAAAAGAAGCTTAGGTTGCTTTTAATCGATTCTAAGATCGAAACTGAAATAAGACGATACTATTTGTCCAGAGTATTCTTAGTAGTGACATACATACATATTCAGGTCATCATAATAAGGCATAGGCCAAAATGCCTCATTAGATCATCGTGGATTTCAGAATCCATGTCCGTTTGACAGACACATAAAGCCCAATGGCCTTGTTGATATCACTAGATCCAGTTAAGGTTCAATTATAATCATAAAATATTTTAATTTCGCGATTTAATAGGTCCCAGCGTTCTACTTGTGGTATATGATACATATATGCTAATTATAAATTCTATCCAATATGATATGTCAAGATGTTGCAGTATCCATATGTGCTGCAACCTAAAGAGTGTTCAAAGTAGTAGCGACAATAAGCACCCTTGGTGGATCATATGATTCTCAATAATCAAACTTAATGACTCTAGGAAACAGCATCACCAACAAGCAAATGCCGGATCGTAAGTGGTGTTATCCCTAAGTGCTATTTGATTCGCGCCCAAGGACTTCTCAATTTGTGTGAAACATAGTCGTGATATAGCAATCCTAGACAAAGTGAAACCAGTGTAACGTATTTGATGGAAATATTAATTAGTTTTATCATTGTCTTCAGGAAGAACGAGCTAAAGTTTATTGGTATAAAAAATTCTGCTAGCTGTTCTGAATTATCAACGACTTTTAGTACTTAAGCTCCAAGTCAAACTTTCGGTAATTGACATGAAAATTAACTAGTTGTGTCTCTGTTGGTTATGTATAATAACCATGTATACAGGCATAGATCTTCGGAAGTAAGTCCGAAATATGTTTTTCAGCGTATTTCTGTAGAAAGATAGTTAATCTTTTCTTAATAGTTATTCCACGATAACCTTTCCGATTTCCTATGTTTACAATCGTGAATTTAATTTGAAATCAGAGTTATCAAGAATTACGGACTTATCAAATAATTATATTGACACCATAATTAAGTTAAAGAATATTAAAGTTTAAAAGAGCAATGTATACATTTCTAAAGGATAAAGCTGAGCTGAAACCGAATCTGATGTCAGAATTTTTTGAAATTTGCGGATGTTATAACATCGCAACAAATAGAGGCTTAACATCTGACATATCTTCTTTATTCTTCGAGATATCTTGTCATATATTCTTTAGAAATGTATAACTTGGTCTCATTCGTTATCTAAGTAAACAAAAATTAACTTACCTATCTTGCACCGAATAAGCACGAATTGTCGAAACACCCGTAACGGTTTCTCCGAAATGCGAATAAATTGGAGATCTTGATACCGATTCCAAACGCATCAATTGACGTGATGTTGCCACATAAAAACGTTGGGCAAAATAGTACAAAAATGCAATGGGTATAATTACAGCCATGAAAATCGGTGTAGTCATACTAATGACAACAATGGTAGCTAAAACCTTTATTAAATGAAAAATAAATAATTAATTAAAAAAGAGAAAAGAAAGAAGATTAATATCAGTTATATTTTTAAAGATAAATATGAATATAAATATTAGTGATTTAAATAATAAAATTAATGTGAATTTTTACCATTACTTGATTTAAAATTTGATATTTTATGATTTTTCTCAGTGTATTATTTGAGGGTGAAAATTAAAGGGGAAAAAAGAGAAGAAATAATAAAAATATATATAATGAAAGGTTAGAATTCAATTGTTTTATAACAAATTATCTGAATAAAATGAAAAGTGGAGTATGTGTTTAATTAAATTTTAAAAAAGTAGCAATTTGGCAACAATATGGAGAAGAAACGACGATGTATATGTTTAAAGAATGTTCGAAAAAAAGCTGTAGAAAATAGATTTATTGATTAATAGACTTGTTTCTATATATCATCAGAGTTATGTTGTATAATCAAGACAAGTTAAACTTATCCCCCGATAATAGATGCTGGAAGGTAAAGAATCTGGTAGTATTACTTCATAACACATTCGCTTTGATTTCGATAATACCGACTTGTAAAATCCTCTCAAACTGTATAAAACTTAATACTTCCATTAATACAAGAACAAATTTAACTTAACAAAACTGTGCAAGTTGTATAATTCTTTCCAAATCTATGACAACTACTCTATAACATTTAAAATATTTACACTTAAATAAATTAACAAAGAAAAATTTACCTCAAAACCACACCATAGTGCATCATCAAATAGACGTGGCAATACCGTATCTAATGACTCAAGATCTTTTGAGAAACGTGATAAAATACGACCCAATGGTGTGGTATCGAAAAAACTCAACGGTAGACGCATAATATTTGTCAATAATGTGGAATGTAATATGAGGGCAGCTCGTAAAGCACCAAGCCATGGCACTAAGGCCACACCATATGAAAATATAGCTGTAAACACAGTATAAGGTGTTAGATTTTTAAATGATGAGATACTGGCAAATAATAGGAATGGATGGGTTTAAAATTATAACTAGTCACAAGAGATAGCACCATAACAAAAAACTCCTTAAAAAAGGATAAGCAAAATCTGTAGGCTTAAAGGTAAGCAAATGTAATAAATGGAATTTAAACATGCTTTAAACTTATAATAGGGATTGTTTAACTTTTTACAACGGGAATAGGGATTAGTTAACTAATTAAACTACAAACTAAATACATTAGTGACTAAAACTAAACACTGAAAGAAACTATGTTTCGATCATTGACAAATACAACTTATGCGTCTACAAAAACAAAATTTCTGAAATCTATAAAAGGCCCATCGTCTTCAACCGATTGAAAAATCATGCAATTTATAGTTATATTGGTTTTTGACAATATTAGAAATCACGTACATAAAGAAAATAAAACTGAAGAACTCCTTTTTAAGAAAATTATTCACAATAAAATAGTTTCCAACAGAAATTTTCTATAGAATATGTTTCTACAAAGTTTCTACAGTTTTCTATCGAAAACGTTTTTATAGAAAACTATAGAAACGTTTTCGATACGCTTTGAATCCGATTCTATAAATTTTTCTACTGAAAGCGTTTCTATAATGTTCTATAACAAACGTTTTCATAAGGCTTTCTATAGAAAACATTTCTACAAAGTTTTCTATACAAAACATATTCACAAGTTTTTTTTATTAGAAAGCCGTTTCCATCTGTCTATTTAAAACGATTCCACCTTCTTAAATTTATTTTACAGACAGACATAGATTCGTCTATGCGTAATATCAGATCATGTTTTCTTAATTTAAAGAGAATTTCGAAAGGCCTTATGGATCGAACGTTTCGAAAATGTGTACAGTGTGGTTTTTGGAGAATTTATGGGGACTTTCGTCAATAATGGACCGAACTCTACAGAATTTGAGAGTGATTAATCTCTAAAAACAAATTGATTTTGTTGGCTATATAGCGATCTATGAAAGTTTTCCTTATAATTTTCAAACTGAGGAAGTGTTCCAGCGTTCAATTATCCTCTCCTCAGGCTCCACCACTCTAATTAACTAACGAGTGTGTTCACTAAGAATACTTATTATATTAATCTTGGACTTATCCGTTCTGTGGAGACTTCTTGTCCAGATACCAAAATCCCCAAATCAGCCTTTGATAAGTTGAACGGTTTTGGATTCGTCGGGTTCACTTCCAGAATGTCCCTTTTCTTTATAGCAAGCTCTTTCATTTCCGATTATCCCGCAATAGCCTGTTACTCATATAATGCAGAGTTTACCACCTGAAGTGTATTCTGTTCAATCTGATCTTAAATTTAACCTTATCTCTAATTATATATTGGTGGTCGGGAAATATGTTAACCTCTGTTGGGACTATATTAAACTAATATATTTTAGACATTTCGGTATAGCACAGACTTCCGCCTAGAACCTAGTGTTGTGGTTGGGAAGATAGTAGTACATATCGGTTTCCGGGTCTTTCAGTTTTAGCCACCCGTTTAGCAACAGATTACCCTACGGGTTTGTTCTCATGTTCCGCTAGACAATGATCTCCTATCTGGGTTCAATTTTTCACAGTTCCCAACAAATTCTGTGCGATCGATCACTCCTGCCCGATTATCCCAGAGTCGCATGATCAAATACGATACAGGTATTACCACTGAAATAGTATTCTGTGATGGTTCTCTTAGTCTAATATGGTCTTAGATTAAATCTAAACAGCTAATATAGTTATTGGCTTCTTATTGAATACAATCCATTTTCCGTGATAGCAGAATGTCTAAAACCCCTCTAAATTCCCACAGGGATTTGCTGTAATGTAACGCTTGATAACGATCGCTTGTCTGGGATCAATGTCTCAAAAACCCAGCTAGTTTGATGGTGAGCATGAAAATATAAGGTGTGTGGACAAACAAATTTTGTATCTATCAAGTTACAGAGTAAATCCACCGTTCTAAATCAACAAATGTTAATATTTGATTAAAAATCCAATATCCGAAAAATCAGCTGTTCAGTCCTTTAGTTTGCAATAACAAGTTGACTTTTCTCATTCAATATTATAACACTTCCTAACCACAAAATTTCTCAACAACTTCACATGTTCATGCCCCTTATCTTGTCCCTTAAGTAAAACATTATAGAGAAACAAAAATTACCTCAAACACACACCAAATAGCGCCATCAAATAAATCGGGTAAAGTTGAATCTAATGACTCAAGATCTTTTGAAAATCTTGATAAAATACGGCCCAATGGTGTAGTATCGAAAAATTGTTGTGGAAGACGAAAGATATTTAACAATAATTCCTGATGTAAAACGCGAGCAGCTTGTAAAGTACCAAGCCAGGGTGCTAGAGTAAGGCCATATGAAAATAAGCCTGGAAACAGAAATTCGACAGTATAGCTAATAATACAGATTTAGATAGAAATTTTCATTAAAAAGTGTATAATTTGATAACCAAATTGCTACAAATATGTAGGTATTGATGTATAAAAAAATTAAAAATATAATTAAAAAAAAAACAGTAATATACAACTACAATTTGTTAGTGTTTGAAGAAAAAAATGCATAAACCAAAACCTAAATATATAAGTCAAGTTCAAAAACAGGGGTAATAAAATATTTGTAATACATTATTAAAAAAAAAGAAAATTTTTCAAACAAATACATTTTAAGATTGGGGTTTGTTTTCGCATTGTTTTAAGTACAGTGACTGAGAAAAATAAAACGAACTAGCCGGTAAAGTTACGATGAATAAAATTGAAATTTTTTAAAAATGTAGGCTTTTTGAAAATAAAAAATAAGCTTTGCTTTTCGTTTCAATGTATGGATATTATAAATAAAGAGTTTTATAGTTATGATGATACTCAATCTTCTTAAACATCTTAAGGAACTCTAAACTTTCTAGATAGATTTGATTTAGTTTAGCAAAGATTAAGCTTTTACAAAACTTTTTTCTAATAATTAGTTTCGAAATAATTTCCTTGAGAATCGATTCCTTAGTGTATCCATTATTCGCAATTCAAATTAGGATTTAAGTAGTATATTTTTTTTAAATATTAATAAATCGAAATAAATCTCAGATCAGTATGCTATGATCTTTCAGGCAACGTATAGATTCCGCGCCAAAATAAATGTTACTCTGTTGATGCTACGAACAAATAAAATCATTTTCGGATCCCTGTTCCGAAGTGAAGCGTATTCTAGATCATTCTTAAATAGTTTTTAAACAGGTAATGCAACATGTGACCAATCGTTGTTATGATGGAATATTATAATGATATTTAGGTATGACCTCATATTTTGGACATTTTCAGACAATGTTCACTTCAAACGAATCAGCAGAACAGGTTCCCAGCGATTTCAGCGACAGATTTTCTTCACAATGAAGACAAATACGCTCAGTTTGGCATTACTTCATGAAGATTGTTGTCTAACTTAACAAGAGCTTGCAAAATCAATGCGAGCTTTCACTACTACAAATTAAGAGTTCGTATGAGAAGCCCTGCCAACCAGTCGGGACAAAAGTGGTGACACCAAAGGGGTCCTATCTATTATGAGCAGGGATCCTTTTCTTCTGATTCGTGTGAAGGAGGATTGTCTGAAAAGTGTCCAAAATATGCCAATTTATATTCCATTAGATAATTGAACTAGTGTGAAACTATTTCAAGCACCAATACGAGTTATCATTTAGGCGACTAATTATTTTAACTTCGATTTGTCCTAGGAAGACTCTTTGGAGTCAATTATGTAGGTTTAATAACTACTTCCTGAAGTACTATAGAAAAAAAAAACAAGTTTCAATAGTCCGTCCCCTCTTTCGTTTACTTGGAGACACTAAAGTGACGATTGCGTCATCTTTGTTCTGTCTCTGCATTACATTTGGAACGACCCAGAAGTTTGACAAAGAGTCAATGCATTCGAAAAACTAACGTTTAACCAACTGTTTGTCTCTAAATCGACTTTTGTCACGAATGTACTCTTTATAAAAGAGAATGAATATAGTC